GCTGCTTTAAACAGACTCTGAACAGAACAAGTGAGTAAAAAGCTTTGTGTGTGTTGAGACGTCTGAGGAGCTCTAACTGGCCTCGCCGCCTCCTCCATCAGCCCACAGACGAAGCTCCGAGGCCTCCCAGGGCGTCGCCACACAACAACGTTTGCTTTCCAAACCGACATGTTCAATATCGGGCCGGCGTCGAGCGTTAAATTAGCTTTAATCCTGCAGGCTGTGAGTTCTAGATGAAAGTTTAAAGTCGGCTTTTAGCGAAGCGCTCTGCGGGGATGTCAATTCCCGAAATCCCAAACGCTCGGCGGAGCTCCTGCAGCCGTCGCCGCCCGCAGGAAGCCGGCTCCGTGCTCCGAGCCCGGCCGCTGATTAATGACGGGATTTCCTAAATCTCCTCCACTCGGCTCTTCATTTATTTTTAACGGTGAGCTGCTGCCGAGGCACAGCGAGGCCCGATACAACATTACAGCAAAGAACAGCTGTGAAATGACTGCAGGAAGGAATCAGCTGGAGAGGCAGAAAAAGGACGAGAACGCCGAGGAACGGAGCAACACTGACGACGACCAAGGAAAGTAATGACAAAGAGGTACAGCAAGACCAAGAAGAGACACAAACCACCACAAAGAGAGACGAAGTTATCACAAAAGGACACAAAATGACCGACAACAGACGCAAAATGATCACGAAGAGACACAACTCACCACAAACGGGCACAAAAGTATCACAAAGAGATGCAAAATGGCCAGAAAGCGACTCAAGATGACTAAAAAGGCACAAAAAACAAGACGAGACCACACAGAGACACAAATAGCCAAGAGACACACAATGACCACAAAAAGGCACAAAATGACCAAAAAGAGACACGAAATGATGAAGAAGAAATGGAATTCCTTTGACGAATGAAGCCTAACTGGTAAATGAAGCGATGAAGTGTGTATTAAAGTGTAGAAACGACAGCAGCCTCGACGTTAAAGCTGGATTTGTGTATTTGTTGTTTCCTCTCGGTGAGCTGGATGTTTTCCTGCGGACGCCTCGGTGAAGCCGCTCTTCAACACGAGAGGAGTTTTAATCCTTTGAGCCTTTTCTCTGGAGAAACTAAAAAAACGTGAAGCAACACTCGCAGTAAACCTCAGTCGGCTGCCTCCCGAGGCCTCTGGAGATAAAAATAGTCCCACCAGAACTGGGTCAAACAGCCACAACAACGAGGGCCTGAACACTTTCGCTCAACCTCAGCTGTCAAACAGCGTTAAGGTCGAAGGAAATATGCAAAAGAGGATTCATGAGGAGCAGCCGGCTGTGTTCGCTCTGTGGACTGAACTGTGGATGCTCTGCTGCTGCTGATACTGACTTTACTTTAGTAAACAACAAGTCTGAGTTTGTCGAGAAAAGAAGCTTATCGTCACCAATCTGATCCTGATAATACCAGAATTATAGAGCTAATAAAGTCAGTCCAGTCTGTCCAACACCTGAACGTCTCTGCAGCGCGCTGACAAAGAATAAAGGCTGTTCCTTCATGTTCTGTAGGTAGAACCTTGTTGTGAAGCTCCAGTAGAACCCACAACACGACCACAAAGACCCACAAGATGACCAGAAAGACCCACAACATGACCACAAAGACCCACAAAATGACCCCAAAGACCCACAAAATGACCCCAAAGACCCACAACACGACCGCAAAGAGCCACAACATGACCCCAAAGAGTCACAACATGACCCTAAAGAGCCACAACACGACCCCAAAGAGCCACAACATGACCACAAAGAGTCACAACATGACCACAAAGACCCACAACATGACCCCAAAGAGCCACAAAATGACCCCAAAGACCCACAAAATGACCCCAAAGACCCACAACACGACCGCAAAGAGCCACAACATGACCACAAAGACCCACAACATGACCACAAAGAGCCACAACATGACCACAAAGANGCCCAGCCACTTCCTTACTCAGACTTCAGCTAACGTTCCTCCTTCGTGCGGCTAAAACTTGACGAATCACGTCCCTGCGTCGTCTAATTCCCCGACCCGACTCCTCTCTCTTAGCGCGAGGGCAGGAGGTCCAGCCGGATAATTCCGGCGCTCACGGGGGAAGATTAACGGCCCCGGAGAGGCTGGCTGCAGCTTGTCAGTCAGGCAGCTCACCGGCGCTTTGTTCTGCAGGCTGATGCAAAGGGCACTTTGATGTCCGTCACTCGGAGCTGCTTTGGAAGATCCTCGGCGAGGGTGAAGGAAGAAGCACGGCCGCGAGATGAAACAAAGGGATGGTTGTCATTCGGCTCATGATCTGATTGCTGCTCGAGTGGAGAGATAAGGAAACCCGACGCTCTCCACGGCAAACCAGCAGATTTCCATTCATGCTATCGCACGCCCGTCGCCGGCCACCGGAGGATTCATCTTGCGAGCTTTTATCGGGAACGTTAATTAGCATTACAGTCCAGGAAGCGTATTAGACGATTTGTCAGAGCTGCTGCGACATCACGTTTCCTCACCTCCAAGAGTCCTGAGGAAGAATTATAACAACGCAGGAGGAGGAGAGGAAGACTTCAGGTCTGATCGACGCATCGAGGACTTAAAAAGTGTGTCAGGAAGAGGCGAAGCAGCTCAGAGACGATTCAAGCAGACACACAACATCCTCAGAGACGGAAAATGAGCACAAAGAGGCAAAAATGACCACAAAGAGACACAAAAGGCACACAGTGACCCCAGAGAGACACAAAAAAGACTAGAAATGGACAGAAAATTAAAACAAGACACCAAAGGACCACAAATAATTCCAAAACAACCAGAAATGGACACAAAATGATGGCAAAGAGGCACAACAACCACAAGACGACTGCTGAATGACACAAAAGGACCACAAACATCTGCAAAAACACTACAAATGGCACAAAAAGTGACCAAAGATCCACAAAATGAGCACAAAGAGGCAAAAATGACA